GCTCGGAGCTATCGGACTGGTTCTGACCGCGCCGGTGCTTGCTGCAGCCCCGGCACGGCGAGCAGGGCTGGCTCTGCAGCAGCGTTTGGTGCCCACCGCCCGGGCCCTGGGCCTGACTCCGCACCCTTGGCTCCAGCCCATCCCGCTGGAAGCAGAGCACCTCCTCTTCTCCCCGTCCCCGGCACGCACCGCTGACCAGGGAGCGCCCTGCCCACCCAAAATGCGGGGGGTTTCCTTCTCTTCTCGCTCTTCCCAGGGACACGACCGTCCCTTGCTCGTGGACACCATGCGACACCCCCAGAAGTTTGCTCCTATCTTCCTGCGGCAGCGAGGATGCACAGGGGAGCCTGCCCGGACAGTCAGGCGGGAAAACCCACGGTTTCTGGGTCCCACGGGTGGTTAGAGCGTGGGAAGCACTGCTCGTCCTCAGGGATGCAATGCGGTAGCTGCACGCCAGCAGACATGCAGGAGATGTGTCCACAGAGGTGCGTGGTCCCACCTCGGGCACCCTGGGGAGCTGCCTGCGGGAACCCGGCTTCGCAGCTGCACCCGCGGCTGCTGAGCCCCGGGGCAGACCAAGATGTGCGAGGCTGAGACGAGTGTGGCTGAGACGTGCATGGCTGAGATGTGCGTAGCTGAGATGTGCATGGCTGAGACGTGCATGGCTGAGATGTGCGTAGCTGAGATGTGCATGGCTGAGATGTGCATGGCTGAGATGTGTGTAGCTGAGATGTGCATGGCTGAGACGTGCATGGCTGAGATGTGTGTAGCTGGGACGTGCATGGCTGAGATGTGCGTAGCTGAGATGTGCATGGCTGAGACGTGCATGGCTGAGACGTACGTAGCTGAGACGTGCATGGCTGAGATGTGCATGGCTGAGATGTGTGTAGCTGAGATGTGCATGGCTGAGACGTGCATGGCTGAGATGTGCGTAGCTGAGATGTGCATGGCTGAGATGTGCATGGCTGAGATGTGTGTAGCTGAGATGTGCATGGCTGAGACGTGCATGGCTGAGACATGCATGGCTGAGATGTGCGTAGCTGAGACGTGCGTAACTGAGACGTGCATGGCTGAGATGTGCATGGCTGAGACGTGCATAGCTGAGACGTGCATGGCTGAGATGTGCATGGCTGAGACGTGCATGGCTGGGACGTGCATGGCTGAGATGTGCATGGCTGAGACGTGCATGGCTGAGATGTGTGTAGCTGGGACGTGCATGGCTGAGATGTGCGTAGCTGAGATGTGCATGGCTGAGATGTGCATGGCTGGGACGTGCACGGCTGAGATGCGCAAGCTCGAGAAGCACATGGCTGAGATGAGTGTGGCTGAGATGAACATGGCTGAGACATGCAAACTTGAGACATGCATGGCTGAGACGTGCACGGCTGAGATGTGCAAGCTCGAGACATACATGCCTGACACATGCGAGCTTGAGACGTGCATGGCTGAGATGTGCATGGCTGAGACATGCATGCCTGAGACATGCAAGCTTGAGACACGCATGGCTGAGACAGGCATGCCTGAGATGTGCGTGCCTGAGATGTGCATGCCTGAGACGTGCATGCCTGAGACGTGCATGGCTTAGATGCACAAGCTTGAGAAGCACGTGGCTGAGATGAGCACGGCTGAGACATGCATGGCTGAGACGTGCAAGCCTGACACAAGCATGGCAGAGGTGAGCGCGGCTGCGTCGTGCACGATGGAGCCACGCGTGCAGCTCGAGTGCTGCATGCCCGAGCGGTACAGGCCTGAGACGTGCCTGCCCGAGCCGTGCACGCCGGTGCCCGACACGTGTGCTCCAGACGTGCGCACCGA